GTTCGACTGAGCCTTGACTTTATCACATTTGAACTACGTTTCCCACTGAACATATGGAATCTACCAATTCTACTACAGTAAACCTCCCCTTATGAAATGTCCAGAGATGAGATGGCTGGTGAACGAGGAGGGTATTCTGTGAAACCCCTTTGTCCAATCCACCTGATAGGCAAAATTTCATTAAGGTAGGATCTCATATGACGATGAAGTGAAGGTGTCAAATGTTGCTCATAATGAAACTTCTGATCTTTAAAGACCTCTCTCGCGTCTGACATGACAGACTACCACACCAAGGTCAAGTGAATGGAATCAGTCATATTGGTATCATGAGAAAATAGTCCACCTAATCTTATTGATGATGAGCCACATCGTATTGCAATTCTTGGCGAATTGCGATGATGTTCTACCATAGTAAGAAGGTCCTCACATCCCCAGCATGTGCAGTTATGACGGTTAACTGAACTGTTTGACATAAATGTAAACTAATTTCTCCATGAAATTTTTGTTGAAATGTGGGCATCTTCTTCGTAGTTTGCTAAGTGCCGATTGTATTACTCCACGCTTCTGTCGGTATTATATTCATTGGTAGAGAGAAATAGTTTTGGGATGTAGATTTTCGATCCCATCGCTTAATGTTACAAGGTACGGACGGTTTTACATCTTGTGTATCACGGCCCCCTTTTAACACAAGTTTCCTTTGAATTTGGTAATATTCCTCCTGTAGCCTTCCTTGATTTGTGATGCTCGCTGAAGTCTGCGGCCTTCTGGGAGTCTCCTGTGGATATCTTGAGAAGTTCCTCTTGTGTTAAACTTACCTATAACTCTATCGACTGCAAGTCACACATGTGGATCACTTAGAAATCCCTTATCTATTATCGTCGTATTTCGACTGGGTTTTCGAAATTCAAGTGACACTTTAGGAAGAAATCCATATATTCGAAGCTCGGATGGCAGCCACTATTAATTCCAGTGAGTTAGGCCTAAGAAAAAGTAAATACTAGTCGACTTATCAGGTGTTGCGTTCTGTATGACCTTCTTGGGGCGTCTTGCTATATTTTTGTGGTAGATTTACAAAAGGCAATTTAAAATGTCGATGAACATTGCTACAAACCCTTAATAAATAAGTTTGCAATTTTGAAGGGCGAAATGATGTTCGGTAACCGCGTCACCAGTACGAGATTTTCATGTCGTTGCCTGCTTTTTTGTACTAAAAAGCAAAATTGACCGATGAAGGATGGTGTTTTCTGCTGACATTTCCCCTCATAAACTCACTTATGCAATTTTAAGTAAACAAAGGCAAAAATCATGTTTCCTATACGAAGATATGGCCTAATTGCCGTCTACTTGATTTGGCGACGGATTTTCGGACCCATTTTCTTTTGAAAGGTTTTACATATGGCTTCATCGAAAGTCGGTCGCTACCGAATCGAGGCCTGCCTTTCCGTCGGTGCATGTCCACATCTCTTCGCAGGTAATCGTGTCCCATGCATGACGTAATATTTTAACGGCCAATTTAAACGGTTATTTACGGTTTCAGGCGTTAACATTATCTTTACAACTACTGGCCGCACGGGTCCGGGGATGTAAACACGACCTGTGACAAGAAATATGCACAATACAGACGAGGGTTTTATGCCCTGATATCCCCGAGGCCGCCTTCATCGACGGGGGTGACGGGAAAAAATATATGCATTGCAGCAACAAAAATTACCACTCAGGTGCAGCCCACACAGACAGCCTCAGAAACGGCTGAATGCCAGCACAGGCTACACCTTTCAAGTAATGTTAGGCACTGTGCCAAACTTACAACCTGCAATGGAATCGTGTTTACATAAAACCCAAGGTTTTAGTGATCGATTTTAATTTTGGGTTGCTAGCTTTGATTGCATCCCTCTGACCGCGTTTCTCCTCGTCTGCTGGAGTAGTAGTTGAGGCAACAGTATTGATGACTGCGCCCTCGTCGGGCCCGATTTGCGGTGTGGCTACGTGCAGGTCCGTCGTAGGTTCTCCCGTGTTTGAATTCATGTCTGGCCTTACTTCGCGATTGTTCTTTTTTTCGTTGAGCTGCGACCGGATCGCTTGGTAGGCTGCCGGAAGGGCGACACAACTGTTTCTCGAGGTAGTCTCCGTGTGCCGGGCCTCGATGGTTCCCCTGGCTACGCGATTATTGCTTCGACCCAGAATTTTGGCGTTCTGGAAGGCGAAAGTGTGTCCAGAGTCCGCGCATTGTTCCGCCACCACAGACAATGGGTCCATTCTCCTCACTGCCCGCACGTGTTCGTTAACGCGGCTTTGTAACCGTCCACCTGTCTCTCCGACGTAGTTAGCTTCGCAAGAGTTACATTGGACCCGGTAGATGGCATGTGTCGTCTCACCTCGTGTCAGGGGGCCTTCGGTCTCAACCAAATGTCGAATGGTTGAGTCTGGTCGATGAGCGATCCCGATCCCCAAGGGTCTTCGGAGGCGGGAAACTGCCTCAGAGACGCCGTCGATGTATGGCAGTGCACGCCAGACTTTTGGCTGTTCTGTCACCCGATTTTGGCCTGGTTCAGACTGCCTGCTGCGTTCGATGAAGTTACGGGGGTGTCCGTTGATCATGAAAAGGCGCTGAAGGTAGCGGAGTTCTGGCCTTCTGTCATCCGGTTCGCTGCAGTGTGTTTCTGCTCTACTGTAGAGAGTTCGCACACAGCTGCGTTTGTGACATAACGGGTGTTTACTGTGATAGCTTAGGATTTGGCGTGTGTTGGTAGCCTTCCTGTACACGGTCGTTTTTATGTGCCCGTTGGGTTTTCGATGGACAAGAACCTCCAGAAACGGCAACTGGTTGCTGGTTTCCGCCTTAATCGTGAATTGGATGTCCGGAAAGACGGAATTCAGGACACTGTGAAATTCCTCGATCATTTCTCGCTTGATGATGACAAAGGTGTCGTCGACATACCGAGTCCAAACTTTTGGCCTGTGAGTTGTGAGAACCAGGCTCTCTAGTTTTTGAAGAACTGCCTCAGCGATGAAGCCGGAGAGAGGCGATCCCATCGGCGTCCCTTTAATCTGTTCATACATGGTCCCCTCGAAGGTGAAGTACGTCTTCAGGCAGAATTTTAAGAGTTGGGCTAGATGTCTCCTCTTCACTGACTCGTCCGTCTCGTCATATTGCCTCTCGAGCAATTCGGTGACCGTTTCGATGGCCAGGTCCTGAGGGATTGAAGTGAAGAGAGAGGTGACGTCAAATAACACCATGACCTCGTCTGCAGTGAGTCGCGTTCACCTGAGCCGTTCCAGAAACTGAGTAGCTGAACAGATCGTTGTGGTTGCGCCTGAGGTGAGAGGCCTCAGGTGTCGGAAAAGCCATTTAGCCAGATTGAATGTTGGCGCGCCGCGCAGTGACACGATTGGTCAGAGGGGGACATCGACCTTGTGCACTTTGGGTAGTCCGTAGAACTTTGGTGCGGTTGCGCCTGTTGGTTTAACGGCCAGTCGTACCGACTTGCTTATTACTTCGTTTGTTTGCATCTCAGCGAGCGTTTTGTCCAACGGCGTCAACAGCTTCCTCATTGGCTCATCATCACATCGAAGGTAGACCTGTCGATCATCCAGCAGGTTGTTAGCTTTCTGAATGTAGTCGGTCTTGTCCAAGACAACTGTGGAACGCCCTTTGTCTCCTGGCAGTACCACACTGTTCGTGTCGGCCTTCAGTTTCTTGAGAGCATCCTGTTCGGCTCTGGTGATAGTTGCGCGTGGTTTGTGTGCCATCACTAAGGCCGTTACCTTTTGTCGAACGAGATGTTTTGTTTCGTCGAATTCTTCGGTCTGTTCTAGAATTAATTCCACTGTTGCCACGAGGTTGACCGGATGGGCGTCTGTGGTATTGAAGCAGGCCTCGTGACTCAGCACTTTTAAGTGTTCAGGAGTCAGCTCTTTGGAGGATAGATTGTGGACTAGGACGTCGTTCACCTCCTGAAACAACTTATACATATATATGTCTGAAATAGGCAAAGTTTATTTGTAACAAAGCTACTATTGTCATGTTAACCCTCGCAACCATTTTCGCATCTCGTCGCCGAACGAATATGTACTGTGAAGAAATGTTCAACTTTCAAATGCGTCTAACAAAAGATTCTGTATTTGGCTGAAGTATGTGCCAATAGGCATCTAAAATATTGTGTCACTCAGTCGGAATTAATTGTGTCCGTAGCAACTTCTCCTTGACAAGTTTGTGCGCGGCTTATAAATTAATAGGCCTATAGCAGCATGCCTCGGCAGTGTTTACCTCTAGTAGTTGACTATCGTTTGACAGGCGCAAGCAATCCGAGTTTTCTGCCATGCAAATGTATGTCTTTTGTTGAGTTTGTATAAGGCTATCTGTCAAAATCGATCTCGTCTCCCTAAACTTATTTAGTATTCATACATAAGAGCGGGGCAGATTTTTCGGTTTACACCATAGTAAGCTGCATTAAAACTGATACATGGAACTGTACAGGCAGTTCATTTCCTACCTAAATTACCAGCCCTACCGTTGGGCCATACAAACTGGGTGCGCAAAGTGGCATTTGCGTTACCTGTATTTGATGCTATTTCACCCGTTTTTCGACGCGCTCAAACGCGTTTTTTCATGAGAGAGAGTTTTCCGGGTTCGTGATTTTAGCTTTTGGGTATCGGTAAAATTTGCCCAATTTTGCCATCTAATGAAGTTAGCGCGTGCGTCAACGCACAGAATCAAGATAACATCCCTCCCTGAAAATTAATTTAGAACTTACTTTATCTCTGCCAGATAAACTGCTTCGTTCATACCATAAGTTCTGGCTTAATTTAGGGAACTGTAAACGGGGTTACGTTTGTATGACCATGAACGGTTACTCTTCTAGCCAAAATGGCCTCAAAGTGTATGTCTTTATGATTAGTTCACAACACGTCATAATTCCTTCAATGTGCGGAAATACCTTGGAGGTAAAGTTCTCCCGCAGTCTTAATTTCCAAATGAAGTCGAAATGCTGGAAAGGTGGACTTGAGATTAGTGTGAAATACGTCAAAATGTTCTGTTCCGACGATGACAGATGTATCAGCTACTTGGCGCAGGCACAAGTTTCAGTTAACTTCGGTGGGAGTTGCAGCTATCAATTGCTGTATTATAAACTCAGCCAGGAAGCTGCATTTATACTAGTAAATTCATGGGTGTGCCTTCCTGTTCTATAATATTGTTTCGTAAAAGGACAATTTACTAAAGGAGAAAGATCGAGGAGCTGAAGGCGTTCACAGGCACATCATTAGCGTAGATCTAACAAAGTTTCTTAGCCTAGCGCTACGCTAAGTCAAGAGGAATCTACGTGAATAGGCAAATCACGTCACTTATATCACCAGTATTTGGCCATCTGTTCAGACCTACACGTCCACCTGTATACATGACTAGTACCAGAGCACGCTCATGCGTATTTGTTATCAGTTATCTATCGATTATTCCACGGTGGTTGGCCAGACAGTCCAGGTCGTTGGTGCGATTAATGATTAGGTATTCGGTCCTTTTGCTGCATGAGTAAGCGATGATTGGTCATCTAAGACCGGTATCTTAGGCCCACGTTTAGAGTCCTTAAAACGCATTCTCTTGTTCCAAAAACGTCTCTCATGGAGGGTAAAAGAGGGATATTTTGGGGGTTTTCGTTTTTCTCTGCCTTTCGGTCTTTGCGTATTTTACGTCCAGGCACCTAGTTATAAAAGTTCAGGATACACACTGAAGATGAAAGGATTTCCTCACAATGGTTGGCCTCTGATATGACGAGTATGTCTGGACGCAACTGTTTTTGACAAGAGGTAATTTCTATTGTGGGGATGGATTTTCATTGTGCTCATTGCTCTTCTAAAGACATCTGTCCGGAACTTCCCATCTTCCTGCCTTGATGCCCAAAAATCCAGGGCAGAGGTCCCTCCAGCACTGTCATCCTTTATTGTAAATTGAACTTGAGGATAAAAATGAGTTCAGCTATTCTCTGGTAATATCTTTCACTTCTTGGCGTAGAGTAGCAAAAGCTCCATGTTAGCGCTTTGAACTTCCGCAAAATCACCTCAGTAAGGTAATCGGAGATATAAGATCTAATTGTGGCTTTTTGAATTTAATCGCAGATTTCTCAAGTTAACGTAATTCTTCATATCTACCACATACTTTTGGACTCTTCTTCTGTATATTGTGTTTCTCCTCCAACAGGTCATTGACATCTCTCATACCTAATTCTTTTAAGATGGATATTAACAGAGACAGGAGGTCAACTGATGCCGTAATATCGTCGAAACATGTTTTAAGAGCACTGACTAGAACCGACTTCGGCCGGAAGTTCGTCAGAAGCCGTAGTCGAAGCCTTTTAAGAACTCTGACTAACGAATGGCAAATTCGCCTGAAAAACACCAAATGGGAATCGTAAGAAAGGTGGCAGCATGTTTTCCATGCCTTAAAATAGAAAGAGTTGGAAATTTATGGAGCGGAATAAAAAGATGGCAAGAAATTGTTAACCTGAAGCAAGCACAATCTACGCTTCCTGAGCCATCATCAGACTACAAGCAATTATCAAAACAACTGATTGGCGAGTAGGTGAAAGCGCTCCAACACGAGTCCTGCCATACCACCGAAGACGGGCATCTAGCTGATTTAAATGCTGTCCAGGAAACAGCACGCAAAGACACAGATAACAGGATATTCCAAGTACTGAACGTACCAATTCAAAGTTGGTTTAAAGGTATATTTCATGGCTTGATCGGCATCCAATCATTGTCTCAATTCCTCCCCTTTGCCATTTCGACTTTTCTTTACAGAAGATTCTCCAGGAAAGCACATCAACAAAGAAATAAGACTGGAATGGTCATTCCCCGTTTATTAACTGTTGCCAGCCAGTCACACCCAACCTCAGGTTTTGGAGACCTGGGAGTCGAACTCGGATCCTTTGGTTGTCGAGCCTTTATAAGTCCGACTTCCTACCTTAGAGCCACGAGAATGTTGTCCCGTCGGTTGCGATTGGGATTGCTTTTTCACTGTTTCCCATATTAAGGGACTTGCGCTGAGCGCGAGGCAAGGACGTTTTTGCCCACTTGCGGAGAGAACGAGAAAGTGATTAGTGTTTTTTTCTCAGGCAATTATCAAGGATCGCGCTGCAACCTAGCGCGCAGACGTCCAAAGACCAATTCTCGAGAGCTTTGCATAATATTCCTTCTGTTTGATAACCGCGCCTATCACTATGGAAATCACCTTTGGTCGTTTTGCGGGGAGGAGAATACATAGAAGAGCCAATTTGATCTTATATGTCGCCGTCAGTTTACCATTAATTACATCCACATAGGGATGACCCAGAATTCGAATACAGGTTCCAAGTAAGAACATGAAGCTCACATTTTGTCTAACAATTCGATCAGCCCAGTAAACGTCACGCCTTCTCTAGGCGTTTCCCTGCAAGGTTCTCACGATTATCTACAAAAAGTAGTCAGTAGTCATATGTGGGCTCAGTTCTGCTGTCTCGGGGTTACGATACCGCTGCATTGCATGGCTTGGGGAAGTTTTCGAGGTAAGGGTGAGTGTTGAACGAATTACCAGACAGTCAAGTAAGTTAAATTTGGATCAGCCAGTTCCCGAGACGTTTGGTATTTTTGAGTGACACTGAAGTGTCAGGTCTCTGGCTGACATGTTTTTTGTGGATTTTTTGAGGCAGGGGGTACTTGAAGGGTTTTCTGCCAATCCTGCTTAAGTTAGAAGTGTAGATTTATGTTTCGGCCTCAGATATTTTTAGGGTAATGAAGCTCGAAAGATGTAAGTAAATGCCCCCAAATACCTTATACAAACTCAAGTTGCCATGGCGACCTCGCGCCGGCCGACAGGCGCCTGTACTCTCACCTCAGGTACAGAAGGAACATTCGGTATTTGGTCATGACATCTTTTTGGCGTCGCCCTCTAAGTAACGGACTCCTACGAAGGCCTGCGTGCTCCGATGGATAAATTCGGGGCACCTATGCATGTGCAAACCTCTTCACCAATTTAACTGTCTGTGTCCTCCGTTTCAAAAGACTTTACACCATGTGCGAGTGAGTGTGCCAATTAGTGCTATTTTTAAGGTCATTGCGTTGTTTTTTTTAAGAGAAGTTCTAAAAATATTCCCTCAAGCGCCGATTTTTGGTCCTCAATTTTTTCCCTAGCTTCCAAGTTCCTGGGTTTTAACTGCGAGCAGGCATATAAAAACATGGCCAATACCTGTTTATATTTACTATTTAGGTTTTTGTTGCTATATTTAATGTTTTCAACATGGAGCTATTTAATCGTTGTTTTAGGAAAGATTACGGTTCGGCCAACGATTTAAACGTCCGTGTCAGGTCTCCTGTCGTGAACGAAGTATGCCCCGTTGACGCAAAAGGACCTGAGAAGTCAATCATTTCCCATTCGGCTGATTCATTTCCCGCAGTAAATGTCCCATTGACTTTCCGAAAATTTTAGCGTTTTTCCTTCGTCAATATGGACTCGCTTTAGTAAGATTTTATTTAAAACTCACCCAAATATTGGGTCACTGTTTTGTTTTAATAATTGCTCAGATTCTGGAGTATTCTAATATTTTTATTTGACAGGAAGTTCTTTGGAAATTCTCATTTAATAACGAGAAGCAAATGACTCACTTTTGTTATAAACACAATTCCTTCAAGATTACTAACAGACTATCGAGACTGTCGACACTCTGAGACATTAGTGAAAAATGTCTGGTTTGCTAGGAAATATTCGGCGATACAACCCGCTGTCCGACATCTTAGGCTCACTAAGTTCCTAGAATTATTAGTAAGGCATGTCTTATTTCACAATTTAATCCTTTAAACTACGACTGACAAACGAAAAAATGCAATAAATTGCTTCTTCTCAGAATCAACAGAAGGTTTAAAAATGTCTTTTGCCAATCGTCCTCAAGATTCCGAAGTTATTTTTCGTTAATTTAATTTTTCTCCAAAAATTACTATTTCTCACCAGAAATCGATTTTTATGCAGTTTATGCATTTCAAATCCCCGAAGGTTTTCTGCCCATAAGACAGTAAGCTTACTGAAGAAACATCTGAGCAAATTTCTGCAATAATGCTCTATGACTTTCCGCGAAAATTCAGTTTTTTAAGGCAGTGTTAGATCAACAAACATAAAAAGGCATTATACTGACATTCAAACGTTTACCCAATTTAAACATATTCTTGAGAACTCACAAGGAATCCGGGGTTGGTTAAAAATTTGTGTCAGTGGGAGTCCAATGAATTCCCTTAACCGGCAGCGATTCGTTGCGTCCGTCCCCGCGTGTCTTTGACAATTTTGTGTGCAGCATAAAAATTGATATGCTTGCCCGAATATATTGCTTCTAGGAGTTCGCGGATTATGTTTGTTAGACAGGCACCAGCAATGCAAGTTTTCTCCCATACAAATGCGCTTTCGGTGTCCCGTTGCTGCATGGTTTCTTAGGGTAGATGGTCTCGTTTTCTCATGATTAACTGACGTCCATGCTGACATGTTCAAATAGTTTTCTCGCTTTGACTCCAAATAACTGCATTACAATAAATATACAGAATGTTGTAGGCGGTTTTGTTTGTCGAAATGATGAAGATTACCTTAAGGGTGTACAAACTGGATGCGCAAAGTAGCTGTAGGTTTATATGCTACATGAATATGATGTTTCTTAGCTGTCTTTCGAGGAATGCAGGCACTTTTCTCACGCATCGATTAGTTCCCAGATTGCTGTTTTTGGCTTCTAGGTGGCCCCAAGATAGGAAATACCCCTTTCTTTGGGCTCTTGATGACCCTTGCATAGACGCCCATAGTGAAGAAGGCAGTCATTTTGGGAGGCTAATTTGAATAGGACCTCTATTTCTGCCTGAGGGCTCTCTTCGGTTCAATTTTTGCGCGATTTAGCTCGCTGCTAGCTGAAATATGTTTGTGGACATACAACATTAACGGTTGGATTTGATATGAACTACAGAGATCCTTTGCCTCTACTCCAAGGCTAAGGCGTTGCACAAACAAGCAGGCCCCAAACTTCAAGAAGCAATGCACTCAGATAAAGTTTGTATCAATAAGCATATAGATTCATATGCTGCATGCAAAACGGGGACAGGCGCAAACAATCCCGACCGGATAAGGGAACGCATTGGACGCCTATCGACGCAAATTAGAGCCGACCACCGAATCCTTTGCTAGGCGCGGCGGAAATGTCCACTCTTTTTGTACGTTGTCTATAAGTTTGGGCAAACAGTTACGGAGATCTAAACGATGGGCATTGTTCGGTTCCCAAAGAACAGTCTATTTCTGAATGAATCGTTAGATATGCTTGCTTTTTTATTTTGGAGCCGTATGGCAACCTTCGCAGCCCATTCCACGAATAATTGCGTTCAGTGTAAAATCGATTTTTTAGCCTGAGTATAAAACGTTTACCACCTCTCTTCCAGGATATGCTAATTGTTTGCTGGAAAGATTGCCTACGTAAGAGTATATATATAGAAATGAATGGCATCGAATTAGGCGTAAATATTTTGCGTCCAGAACAACCTTCAAACATGTTTTACTCATTTTTGGAAACGTTCTTCAATTCGTATGAATGCATTTTAGATCCAGATCTAGGACTCGCTGTCTGAAGTTTCTTATAAATGTTTCTTGCTTGTTCCGCCAAAAGCATTGCACGACCACATATGACAACTGGAATTTTTTTACTGCACTCCTAGCACAAGTACTAATTAAATCCCAGACAACTGTTTCACTGGTTTACTTCAGCCGCGAGGAGTGTGACTAAAGAAGGTGGTTTCAGATATACTACAGCTTTAACCGTGAACTGGTGCTTTCTTTCGAATTCAGGGAACGACATTAGATTTAAATCCGTGCGACTGAACTTGCCAGATGGGGGATTCCAAAACAGGTGTGAAATTCAGGAAACTGGAGTGCTTTACAGCCAGTAGTCAAAAAAGTGCTGTATAAATTGGAAATTTATCCAAAGCTACGTGTTCGACACTTTTGAACATTGTATTCCAAGAAAACTGCAATTTTACACCTTTATATAAGACGATTTCACAACTGTCCCAAAAAGGCATTAATAATCACGATTCAATCGGTCGCTTTTGGGCGTTATTACCCCCAGCAAGACCTAATGTCTCCGACGAAACGACACACGGATTGGTTTGAAATTATGAGCGAATGCCTAAATGGCTAGAAACTTCCTTTTAGATGTACTGTGTTACTTTTTTATAACGGATTGAGATTTTGGTCGCTAATGTATCTAAAGGCTTACCTTTGTTTTTCCATTACTACTCGCACTTTATCACGGAAGTGGACTGTTTCGCTATATAGAAAATAGAGGAGTGGTGCTAAGGTTTACAAAAAGTGGCTTTAATGCAGGCTCCGAAGCGAAGACTATGAAGACTGATACTGATGTACCATTGGGGCGAAATAGCCAACGAACTAGTAGTTTATGATACAGAAACATTTGGTTGGCGTAGTAATTAATGAGTAAATGTGACCGAAAAACTCTTCAGGCTTCAGTTTGTTGGAAAAAGCCGTTGATGCGTACTGCGTTTGGCTAACATACACCATCGTTGCATGGTTTGCCAAGCATTTTGGGAATTATCATCATACTAGTACAAACCTCCCGAACAGTCAACAATTTACGAATTATTTACCCAGTTTTTCATTGATTTACCGGTATGCAAACCTGTTACATTGTAGTACAAGTATGGCGAAAATCTACCTGTTGAATGCATTGCCTTTGACTTTAAAACAATAACACAAATTAATATGCTTTGACGAAACTAGCTTGCTTTGATCGCATTGACACTTCAGAACAAACGGGCTCCGTACTTTTGTGCTAAAAGTTACAGCATGCAACTGTCGCTAGATCGTCCAACGGGCAAGTTGATTTACCATTGATCATGCTTTACATGCATAAGCGGAGTACCACTGACGATGCCAACGTTTTCATCTTACTTAGTAAATGCGGCATTGCCAGTGTACGTATGTTTAGGGAATCCTCCAAAGTAATTCGATTGGTGCGAAATGTTTTTGCAGTTTTCATAAAACCTATTCTGTTCATAAAATGGCGACTTGGTCACGCAGGAGACGGGAAAATATGCATACAACATCCATTTTCCCGTCGTCTTAAACGATGTATACCGTGTGCCTGGTAGCAGGGTGGACACAGGGACGGTGACAGGCGCGTGAATGGGTTTGTGATTGTAACAGACTGGCACTGGGTCTACCGCAATCTTTCCTTCTCACCATCTGTGTTCGGTGTCGAGACAGAGACAAGAAGACCGGCGGCGGGATCGGGCGCGACGTAGACCCGCATATAGACGTGCCACCACATTCCTGATTCACGAACTTGTAAGTAGACCCACTCTAGCAGCCTGTGACGCGGGGCGAGTGGATGGAAACATGGGTTCTTATTTGTTTGATCGCTTCAACACTGAGTTGTACATCTGCGAGCCGCGGCCTGGGTGCATATGACGGGATTCTAGTTGTTGCTTCTGTCACCTATTCTGGCCGCCTCCTCCACGTGGGTGTAGGCGATGTTGTACCTAGATAAGGCTGCCTAGAGATCCCAGACGGCTGGCTAACTCTACCATGGGTCACCGCTAGGTTTAATGTGGTTTTGAAGTGGAAAGGGAGTAGGGGGGAAAATGGGAGCGGGAGTTATCAGATGTGGAGACATATCCAACATCGGAGCACCCTCATCTATTTTGGCCCGCTGGCCAAGGCGGTTATCGGGGTGTGGCTGCTAGGCAAAGCCAAGCTTTCGGGAGCCACTTGCGATAGTTTTGTGCCAGTTAAGAACTATGCAGAGCACTAAGTATTTTCAAGATGCAACTTACCACATCTACACGGTTTATTCTCTAACTTGGCACTCCTACGCCACAGAAGATATGAATAACTAGCTGGACCCCGCCACGCGTTGCTGTGGCTCAGTCTGATGAAATGTAATGGAAAAAAGAGAGGAAGGGGACACGTTTCTTATATGCTTAAGTGCATAATGGTTGTGGATATAAGATATTGTTGTCGTTGCGTTGTCGGCGCAGACACAAATATTGTCTAGTTTGCCGACTGGGGAACACGCAACCTATAACTGGTTATTTGAGAAGCAATCCGTTTGCAGATCCAAAACCGCACAATTCTAAGGACTGGCCCTGAGCTTTGCTGATCGTGAATGCAAACGCCCGTCGAATGGGGAAATGCAGTATCCTAAATCGAAATGGCATGTCAGTTGGAATCAGTGGAATGCAAGGAATAAGGATATTCTCTCCATTACAAGGTCCTGTCGAGATATTGGATCCTCGTACGTTGTTCACTAATGGGTTTACTGCGAGCCACGTGCCGTTGTCAAGCTTCGGCTGGTTGATTTCTCGCAGCATTATAACCGGCACACCGATTTTCAATCACAGTAACCGCGCCATCGTCCCTGGCAGATTAAGCGAATTCAAAATTTCTGTGACAATTAAATACCTCGCCTGGTTCCACAACGGTGTCGACGGACGTGCATGGGAACTGCCCCGCTTTGTACCTTAGACTGAATAGTATGGTTAAGCAGGTAGACTTCTTGGTTCTTGGCCGCAAGAATAGCTCGTCCGCTCAGGCAATCATGATTCGTATAATTGGTTTGAATATTGGAAAAACCCTTTTCAACCAAGTCTTCTTCTGACGACACTAAATTTCCGAAGGTAGGATGTAGTGAAATGCGTCCTTAAGTCGGATCAACCGGCACCGATCCGTTCCCAATTGCCGGCAATTGGTGTGAGAATATCTCAGCTGTTCAGTCGTTTTGCAGCTGGACACGCATATCCGTTGTTAATTTTAACGTCTGGAGGTGGCGCACAACGTAGAGTATTTCAGGCAGGCATTTATTTCGTCGGTTGGTGTCGATCGATGAACTACAGGCAGTGTTTGCCCGAGTCTCCTGCAAACAGTAGCAATGCGCCTCCAAATGGTTTGCTGTCACCATGCAAATCTTGCAATGATCGGTCAAGGACCTCCAGCATTTTTGTGTGCCATTGTGCATTCGTCCCAAACAATAACTTAGCATTTCTGCAGTAGTTTTCCCATGCCGGATGTCTCGGAAATGTCGCACGTGGAGTTCCAATGAATTGCACGTTCAACGTCGATTGTAAAGCTGAATGAACAGTTCTTCCACCGGGTAGCAAGTTCGCAGCTATTCCGGATGACAGAAGAGCTAAGGCTATTTCAATTTTGGACCGAAGTGCTGCCAGGATCAGTAGTAGGAACGTTTTTGCCAGTCCCTTTTTGGCGCATCCAAAAAGATTCCTCCAACCCCCACTATTGACAGTCCGCATTATTTGATCGTAAATACCACCCTGCTCCAGTGTTAGCTTAGGAATGCCTGATTGCAGATACGACAGAAGATCAACCCTGTGATAGGTTTGCTCACGTCGCAAATCCACGTCTAACGAGGTAGCAGCAGGTCGCTTTTGGTGATGGCTTTCCCATTTGATTGAGAACTTTGTTCGTGATTTCTACGTACACATCCTCACTCATTATTAACATCTCGTTGTAGATTTTCTACTGTGAAATCATCATTTTATTTGTCCTTGCGTATTCGACGGTAGATGCCTTCTACACGCATTCCCTGTGTAATACTTAGGCACTTCCGAATGCAGCAGTGTTTTTGCAAACGCGTTTTTTTGGCTTAGCGTGAAGAACGCAGTTAATGTTGTGGCCGGTGGATCTAAGGCAACCTGTTGCACATTTGCAGCTGTAAAGTAAACGCATTGCCCATTCTCTAACTGTACGGCTTGATTTCATCCAGTTGTATGTCCACATCCCTCCCCCTCCTTTCGTGTTGCAGACCGAAAACGGCTATGTCGCTGCCTTTATTCACGTACTTACAAAGTTACCTAATTCATTTCTCGGAATTGCGGTTTTCCACGTTTATGTGAGCTTCGCTTGCTTTTAAAAGCAAAGGCGAATAAGAAACGACCCAGCGGTTACCGACTTGTACGTCACCGATTCGCATTTGTACGGTTGTCAACTTGCCGACGTCTTTCCCTGATCGTTGTCATCGCCGCGACTGCGTGCAAATCATTGTCGACGTCGGCGTCAGACAATTCAGTTCATATTTCATCTGCGATTGCGTTGAAAGTGATCTTGTTGTATAGCCAGATCCAGGCATGTGCGTGGGGCAGTGCCCATCTTTTGCCATTCCTCATAATACATCCAGCAGCTCACAGACCCAAACACCTCGTGTTTCACCATGAAGTTCATCAGCGATTTCAGTTTCTTCTTAAAAACACGTGCTGTGATGTTATACCTATTCACCGGCGATAGCCCAGGAAGTAAGAGCTGATAAATATCCCCCAAACTGGATTGCATGTGAATGAAATGAGTAGGTCTGGACACCCGTACTGACAAACATAAGCAATTACACCTCGAGCGTACCCGAGCATATGACGTGGACTGTCTGTGTATGTGGAGGACAAAATCAGTAGCCCTACAACGTTAGTTGTATTACTATCGTTTACAACTGCATCATGCAAAGGAATATATTCTTTAGAGCGCAGCTCGGTCTGATTCAAGCGAATGAAAAGCAGGCGTCCTGTTTCGATTTTTGCACACATATCCACAATGCAGTGAGGAAGCAATTGGCAGCATTTCAAAAGGGGATTACTTACATTCTGTCGAATCATAAGTCGGCAGGAGTAGTAGTTCATTGCGCTGAATTTATGTGCGTTTCCTCGTCACTGACTGGATTTATCATCCTAACGTTGAGGTGATATCCATCGGCACCATCCCGAAAAGTAAATGGATACTGCGTTGAAATCGGTCTCCGACTGCCGGTATATGTTGGATGGCAAAATCGTTAGTCTTCCAACGGGTTTTGCCGTACCGTCGTTCACAACAGCATCACGCAAATGAATGTGTTCTCCAGAGCGCAGCGTGAATGCTGAGCACGGAGTCGTGTTTGACGCTCGTCTGCTGTTCCTCGCTGGCGCCATTCGGCCACTCTCAGCTGGTATTGCTCATTCTGTTGTGAACTAAGCATACCTGAAGCTGCAGAACGCTGTCGCCGTGACCGCAACCGGGCTTCCGCAAGCCGAGCTGCACTACACTGAGCTGACACTGGGTGACAGCCCTATTATATGGGTTATGCGGGGGGGGGGGTGGGGCTGGTGCTAACTGCATCCAGTCCTCATCCTCGAGTATTCCCGAGCAAGCGGTGGCGGCCCTATTATGTGGGCTGTGGGACAATTTTAAGTGGCGTCCAAGTGTGGCATGGTTTTTTGCCCCCGGGGTGGTTTGCTCTGGCGGCCCATATTACATCGGCCCAGAGGGGGGGAAAGCTGTTTAATTATCTGCGGGGGGTGGTGTGAGCGCGGCCGTCGGGCGGAGCACGTGCGTTTGAGCGAATGTCGGTAAAGTGGCCGCAGTCTGGGCGCACATGTGTCCGCGCGCGATGTAGGTCAAGTGGCCGCAGCTGGTGACGTTGTTATGGTGGAAAAATTCCAGTTTTTTACCCATCACAGACATACCATCGGCATAATTACACAACTGACCAGCCAAAAACCCGGCCCTATGCGCGGGTCGGGTTGTGTCCAAATTTCAGCGCAATCGGTGCAGTACTTTCGGAGATTAGATATAACACAGAAAAAAAATCCTTCCATTTTTATATATATAGATTTCTACCCACTAACTTACGCTCTTAATTGTTTCTAATCTCTCCCTCATTTCCATTTCCATTGTGCAATCAAGGCAGGTAACTTGTTGTCACTTCTATGCGACTTTGCATGTTATTGATCTTGGTCGACAAAAGGTAACCATGTCGAACCTGGGCGTCCAATAACCCATTGAACCCGACCCCAAAATCTGGTTTTGTCTGCATCCTGTGTTGGTTTCCTCGGGCTGACGACGACAAGTAGTAGGCGCAAGTATTAGCAATTGGTTACTCACAGCTACGCTGCAGTTAAAAAGTGTCTAGATTCGGAATTCCGAAGCAAAGCTGGACGATGATTCCCGTCTTGCAATCAGAATATGTCAGTGGACTCTGCGCTTATGCAAAAATTATTTGAAACACTGGCCATAAAAATCACAAGAGCCATTACTGTCAAACCTGTAATCAATTTACTAAAACGCTTTATCTAAATAAGATAACATAGACTGATTCGGTAATATAGCGGTCTTTTACTTCTTCGTGGTGAAAATGAGTATTTCAAAATAATTGACATTGCTTAATCTCACGTATAAAGATAGTTGGAACGGAAGAATACAATTTGAGACGAGGAATTGTATGTTGAAATTTACTATGGCTCACTTACACCATTTTATAAATAATATAGGCGTACGGCCTTCGCGTTGAATATATTACCAATGGTTTTCTAATCGCCTTATTCTTTCTTATTCAGAGTAGGTGTTGTAAAGTCGCATCACGTGATCAAGGTGGACTGGTATCGGGCAGTTTTTCATTAGTAATTTGAATAGCATTCCTCGTTAACTTATTTCAGCGCAATCAAACCTGATGTACTAAAGCGTTTTACAATTACATTTCCAAGTGCCGAAAAAGAAAAATAAAAAAATTCGCACAATCGCCAGACTTGTGTCCCCTACCTAGGACTTACAAGGCTAACTCAAGGTAGCCTGGATTGAATGTCGAACATAGTCAAAAAGCAAAACCGCTTACACGTATGGTTAGAAAGCGTGTTGTCCACAGTTCTACAGCAGAGCCCTCGGTATGAACCTGGGGGAGGTCGACAATTAGAATCAATCCGGAGAAACAGGTATTATCGTTGTATCAGTTCCTTAATTCCAACATTCTACCATCAACTACCTGTTGATCCAGTAAACATGACGACGTTGTTTAATAACTGTCCTGTCTCTGCTGAATGAGCATGATAAGTATATGGGGATCGCTGTCGACTTTTAGAAGAGAAATCCGACACACTTTTCAAGCTTTGTCTGGTGGGATGACCAGTGTCGCCCGATGCTTGTAACTCGGCATTCAACAGTCGAGGATTTGGGCTTCTATACCTACTTATTTTGTCACATGAGAGACAGTCCACACAGCATGAAAGGTTTGCTTGTTTATATGGCCATCTTAATTGCTCCCTAATATCCTATTAGTAGACATAATGTGAAGCTGGAAATAATGGTCTAAAAATTGCAACTTCATCGTTATTTCTATCTTTTTACTCGACAGAATAACAAAAGGAACTCGAAAGGGGAAAGTAGTGACTCCGACGAGAGTAGCACAGATGTCGTCGTTCGACGGCTTCGTCCAGAAGACTCAGAGTGCTGGTATCCAATCCCCAAGGCAGGGAGTCCAAGCACGAGAGGCGAACTCTCGCAAGCTGACTTGCAGGACAATGGTTACCCTAATTCACGTAAGTACTGCAAAAGCGTAGTCGTTCGGGCAGATACTTATCTGCGCCTTTAGCATTTGAAAAAATGACGATATAAGTGACATGAACATAGATCGCTCCTATCCACTAGGTAGTCATCCAACATTTCGGAATGGTAAAAACATTTCGGAAGGATTTCAAACTGCGACCTGGACTTCAAGAATTGCAAATCAAATCAATTGGCAGAATGTCAAGTTATATGGTCTATAGAACACAATTTTAAAGCAAAATAATGCTGAATGCAATCGAAATCTGAGGGTTCATGTAGTGCATTCGAATCCCCATCTTCAGAGACTGTGTGCAGCCTTTATTAAAAGGTACGCTGGGTACGCACGTATACTGCCCAGCTTGCAGACTGTCAGTGAGGACTGCGGATGCGAGACAGCCTCCCGCTCGGCCGTGGTCCGCACCACTCCGGTTTTCGTTAGCCGTGGAGATGCTTAATATTTCTCAAGCTCGCGAGGTCACTAGCGACTCGTCCACAGAATGAAACCTATCTAACAGCTATCTCATAAAAAGTGCGATCAACGGTCCAATAAGGTGAATCGACTTGAAAAATGTTAAAAAGGGTCAGTGAATGCGTAAGGTGGGTAGCTGCTTATCTTCTAAGTGCAATCAAGTGAGGACACGGGGTCGCAAGATGAGTAGACGGACAGTGGCGATGTCCAACAAGCAAAAGTACTTGAACAGCAATCGTTTTGGCTTAATCTAACTCTGAGCAGTCTGTTCTATCCTTGACAAACACTAGTGCCCAGAAACGCGCTATCTTCTTTACGCTTTGGAAATTGTTTAGAGAAACGTCCATCTGGTAGATCAACAACATCAAAGAACTAGAACTCCACCAGTGTCTCCCATCGCAGTCGCTCATAAAGTATGTATATATGGATCTAAAAGCCGGAGAGTTCGTGCTGTCCAATGCCTTCTAAAATTTTTAGGGTTCGCATGTTAAACCCAAAAAGCGGCGCTTAGGTAATGGATGCAGACAGATTTCATTAAAGGCCAGGCACAGCGTGACGTCCCGATGCAACTAAGACTGTAAGCAAGAGAACTATTTTACGGCTTCACACCTAGGTTAAATGTGTCGAGAAAATTCGATAGACTGCCCTTCATCTTCCGTTTGACATCCATAATATGTAAGCAAAATTCGAGACAGTCTTGAATAGAAGGAATTTTACGACAAAGCGAGTATATCAGAGTACTAAAACATCTGCTCGGCCTGGACAGAAAACAATAAAACTTTTTTAACTTCATATTCACCTGGTGGCAACTGTTATCTACTTGACCGGGTGGAAGGATTCTCATATCACGTCTGTTATTCGTGTTTATTTTCGAATGTGAAATAAGTCGGTATGCAGCATTGCTAACTTCGCATACAAATAATGCCACAACTGCGTCGCTGACCGAAATGGTAAGACCATTATGTAAAAAGGTAATCATTATGAAACAACTATTTAGAGAAACGGGAAGAATGTAGAACACTGTGAAATTTGTAGATGATGCTCGGATTTGTGACTGTGTTCTACTTACTCCGAGTTTTAATAGACTTGGACTAAAAGCGGTCCAGATTGAGATAATTAAAAATGATCTCTTCTCAAAGCTCACTGTATGCACAGCACCTACCTATGTTTTCGTCCTAGGCGCATTCTCAGCAATTTTTTAAATGTTAAGAGTTATGCATATTCTTGGCATTTCCATTGGTTCAAGTGATGTCAAAATTTTCTCTTCTTTCTTGGTCCCCTTGATTGCTGAATTCTTACCTGCACTTCACCGAATATAATTAACCGGGTGTCTAAAATCTTTCAATAATGATTTAGCGCAACGCGAAATGCTCAATCTATGCAAATGTTGACATTTGAATAACACTTTCTATTTTAAAATACGTTGTTCTAGTGAAGTTGGGCAGAGTTTTTATGAAATAACTTGATCCACTTGCTTACTTTTTATGTTATACCAGACACGAAAATTGTAATTCCTGAGAAATGCTTGATTGACAAGGAAGGGCGACGTTTCGGTTAGCAGTTTGGTGTTTGGTGCTCGAAGTTCAACAGGACGTTTTGTCTGAATAAACAACATTGTGCTGGAGAAAACACACTAAACTGTTGGGTTACGATACGAGATCGATACATTAATGCAAATGCTCAAGAGTTCATAGAAAGGGACAGGGGCTATTGATCAGAACGGAACCCTTGAAGTTCCATTTTTTCGAAATGCAGATGAAGGCGTGTGTAGTTTATCAACTAGAAAACTTTTGAAACCGAAATGTAGCCTGCAGCTATCCGCAACTTACAGCGTACTCGAGACTACTCATTTATTCTTATCAGCATCACCGCCCCTGAAATAGGTTTTGTGATTTTGGCTGCCGATATGCGTTTTTAGCTCACCAGTCACGTCACAGTATTAGGGCGCATAAATCTATTTCACTTGCTATAGAATCCAGCTTTACGTCAATAAACGAAGCATAGGCGTTTGATCTCTGGGCTATGGGTAGAGAGACTTATTTTTGAAAACTCTACCAAGGATAAACTGTACTTGCGGCACTCATTTCTCTCCCAGGAAGATGATACACCGGCGTAGTGATGAATGGCTCTTTACTACAGATATGCTAAAGATAATCGCTCGCATTTCGGACATAAAGCTCTTCAGTTGACTTGGCAGGAACAAGGAAGAAATAGTTGCGTCCTGACAATGCCAACTGCCCGGCCAATAGCCCTGGGGTGAATCTTACCCAAAACATAGGAGATATGCAAACAGCCGGACCATGTTTAAATGGGCAAAAAGATGTAGAAAGGCCAATTCTGGAAGTGATTTGGACCACAACGGCCAGAAATGTCTCTGGAAGCATATCGAAGCTTTTGAATGAGAGGACGAAGAAAAAGAATGAATTTTTCCGTTTCTGGAGGTTTTTGGGTGATGCTCATAGAACTGTGCTTATAAGTATATGCAGCCCATTGCACATTGACCGGCGAACATGTAAAGTGGCTGTTGATGAGCATACTTCTGAGCGTTAAAAGCAATGATTCGGAGCTCTTTTACATCGATCTGGCCTCGTTCTAAGATGTGATACAAAGCAACGACGCCTTCCCACGGGGACTTTGAAGATTCCTGTTGGTAGTGGATTGGGCCAAAGTTCGTAATACGATTTGAACGGCGAACAGCTGACTGAACAACTGAAGGCCTGTATAGGCAGGTCGTTCTGCCGTTAGATCGCGGTGTGACTGACGACGGTACATAAATCAAGACTGATGATTCCAGCGCCATCGCTCTCGTTGGCCTTATTTCTTGTTGAAACTGATATCCATGCATGTATCGGCGTATTTTTGTCCCCGGAAACTTGAAAAAACTTGCAAATCTTCCATGTAGTTTTCCCCAACGCTTTTAATGAACAATTATTTTAAAGGTACATTGGGTAATTGACGTCTAACTTAGCGGAGCTTGCTTCTGCCTACAGGTCCCTGTCAATGTATTCATTAAACTGGCGAATGTTGGATCCAAACGCGCAGTTATTCCCTGTCCTAATATTTACAGGATGCTGTCGGCAACGACTCGTCGACTTAACATATTCCAAAATGTTTAAAAAAACAAACAGGCATCCGCTAAGGAGGTTATGACTCCGAAATTTTCTGTGCTCTACTGAACAGACATGGTGTTTTAGATCTTACTTTGCAGCCGCAACTTAGGAGCTTGAATAAAACTGGACAGGTAGAAGAGTCCAAGCACGTCGGAGCAATTAGTAGTACGGAGACCAAGGAAAATACCATTCAATACTCGGGGCAAAATACGCATTTGTCTGAGCTTCAATCTGTAAAATAATCGATCGTCCGTAATGCACAGAAGCAGCAACAACTAGACATTTGTTACACCTTTTCAAGATCAATCAGCGGCCGGTAATGTTTGCATGGGAATGTACTCTCAAGCCCTTGTGCAAAAACGTGCTCCAATATGCCAATAAAGTCGCAGTATGCCCAGCAATTTGGATTCCGCCCTGGAAGAAACCCCTCCCTGCATGTTCTGCTGGCAAGTCAGCCCAAGCCTGCTCCCGTCATGTTTTCTAAAGGGAAATCTCAAAGATTTTGGCTAACACAAAGTTAGCACCTACCTAATCGATCAGAAACCTAGCAATAAAGAGACCGCTCTTATTGATAAAAAAACCCATGACAAAAGCATGGCTGTCTTAATCGCTCGGACTAACAGACGCCTATTTAATTCGGTATGAATAACATGCTTCACCATTTCCCGACCTCCCACGTCTCGGTAGTTTTGCGGTCAACATGTGATCCACAAAGTGAATGCTTTATTCTCCCGGGTTTTTATTCTGTAATTTACTCTTGCTTCCTGTCGAAAAGCCCTCCAGCACGAAAAGGAGGAGGGGGAGAAGGGGCTGAGATCAATACGTCTCAGCCTGATCGCCGCTCCAAAAGACCAAATCCCCGTCGTGTGCAGAGATGCCGCATACATACAGCAGTTAAAAAACCGTGCGGAAACACCACCTGGCAGCTGCGGTAGTCCCCCGAGTGACAGTGGCATCTGGGGCCGGATCCCCGCCGGCGGCGCCACAGCCACTGCGGAGTCCAGCAGAAGCAGTCAAGACAGCACAGTTTTCAGTTATCCTTGGGATCTGCCCCCACCACTGGCAGCCCAGGTGGCAAGTGGTGAGACGACACCAAATCCCAACAGCCCCACTATATCAAACTCGAATCAATCCAATGAGCGCGCACGATGGGTAACCCTGCACCGACATGTAACTGGCAATGGAGACATACCTCTAGCAGCGGTTGCGACAAGTGTCAGTCGGGGTACACCTGTTATAACCACAACTACCACCACCGCTCCTGCCTTATGCTCTAAATCCTCCCTCAGTCTGACTTCGGGCGAGGAATCATTGGCTGATGGGCTGGTGATGAGCCGTGGAATGGAAGAGTCACCGGTGTCGCTGACACCAATAGGGACGAATGTGGAATGTAGCAACGAGATTCAAGCGCCCCTGTACACCAGCGTCTCATCAGAATCGGAGTCATCGTCCAATGGTTCGGTGTCTTCAGTCGACAGGTGGGAGCGCTTCTGTCTGTTTATACCTGCAAAAAGAACGGCGGAGGAAGAGGTGCGTCCTAATTTACTGCCTCCTCATTTCAAAGAAAGCTCTTGCGTACAGAGTACATAGTTCATTTTGGTATTTCGTGGAGTATGCACATATTAAGAACAGAAGTGGCCTTAGTTTGAATAGACAGCAGTCAGGATTATTTGAGTTTCTAGACTGACTGCACGGGGTTTGGTAGACAGCGGGGAGCAGGACGCGCCTGCTAACCAATTCACAGCCGGATTCTCTTGCCTCGATCATCCCTTCCACTGTTTCCTTCGATGCTAATCCAATTATACTTGTAGCAACAAAGCTCACTCGACTTTATTTGAGACTGATTGCAGCCTCGGGGTTTAGTGCTCCTGAGGGATCAGAAGATGCGATTCCTCAGACAGCATAGGAGAAACGGAAGAGGCGTTGACCGGAGCGGCATACTCGTGAGCTGATGGCGCGAGTAGTGAGTTCGAATTGCCACCTCTATGGATTGTCAAAAGGTATGTCGGTTACGCACGCATTGTGCCTGACCTACAGATCGTCAATGCGGACTGTGATTGCGACATAGGTTTACGTTTGGCGTGACCTGTGTTACGTCCGTTTTTCTTAGCCGAGAAGATGCTTAACGATCCTGACGGTCAGAAGCCCTGACTGTGTCGTATCAAATAGATCGTAGAGCCAGGAGAGGCTCAGGTATGTCCATGCGATGTCGACTGAACAATCGGTTGACAGTCAGGGTTTATAAAGTTGTCTTGATTTGTGATCTTTATCTCGGTCTGCCGTCTAAGCCATGTGAACGTTGAAGATGTGCCCCATCTGCTAAACATGGGTTGTCACCTGTGACATTGTATCAAATCCCTACATGGACAACTCACAATTGTATATTTACCTTTGCAGCCGTCGTCTCATTTTTGCCAAGTGGTACCCCTCCCACGGCCTCATTGAAGCCTTAATGAGACAGCTAACTTAGCTTTTATTGGTAACGGAATCTTTTGGACTGATGGCCTACTGAAAGAGTGTTGAGCCGAACTTATGGGTGACTTCTATTTCAATTGGCACTAGTAATCTAACCACAAACTCAGAGATATCTATCAAATATGGCTGTTGCGCCATGGTCTGAGCAGGCGTGTCTTTTTATTTCGGCTGCTTTGGGGCATTCCTGCTCGTTCAGCAAGTGCTCATGGATACCGATTGCTAGTGAAGAGCTCTCAGAGTGCCTGATCTCTTCCATCTTGATGACTGGAGTGCTTTAGTGCGTTACCATTCGCAGGTGTAGTGTTCGTGCGCAAGTCGGCCTGTGTCTCAGCGGGTGGTTAGTTTTGCAGTCCATTTGTTTATGCGTCTCGGTCGGGTTCCTCTGCGGATGTTTCGCCATTCGGCTGCCAAGTTGATAGTTAGTATTGCCTTTCCAGGAATGGTCAGTTTTCGGTGAGAGCGACATGACAGCGAACTATAGCTACCCGTCCGTGACGGAGACCTGGTTTGAACTCTCGGCCCCAACGTCACCTCTGTTGATGAACTTGCAGACAATTTCAGGACTAAAGATTAACTCTTTTCTCTGGTGCCCTTATTTTTCCCCTTGAAGGAATTAAGTTTGTTAAAGATATGTATCATGATTCAACTTCGGTAAAAAAGTCTTGGTGCTGTAATACTTTGGTTGTTTTCTGGTAGAAGCTGATGCATGACCATTTCTTTACTTTCGTTTACTCAACATGTGCTGGTCTTCAGCCTTTGAGTTTCAGTGACCTACCGGCTTTTAATTTTTTGTAGGTCTTTTGAGACACGTCTTAGGCTAGTCAAGGCCTAGACTAAAAGTTTTGAAAACAGTGTGCCCAAAGTTAAGAGCCAGGGATGGCGTTTCAAAGATCTTCCAGTATGATTGTTGCTGCAACCCAAAAGTTACGGGTAACGTCACAGCCGACAAACTTGGTCAAACTTTTAGATAATTCTATTTTCCATGTCTTAGAACTGGCTCCCCCTTAAATCTTAAGGAATCACCAAACCTTCGAGCAACAACTAATTTTCCACTTTTAAAGATTGAGCGTTTGCACTTTCCTCCATTTACTTTTGCAGCCCTACGGTTTGACGGTTGGCCAAACACTACAAGAGGCCGAAGTTTTTTCCAAGGGCTCAGCGGATGAGATAGTCAAAAAGAGGGACTCGCCTGCATACCACCAATGTGCGTGTTTTTGATTTTTTCGTCAACTTCTGATTACCTGATATCTATGCCATGCAATTTATACCTCATGAAAAAGCATTCGAGGCAGTCAGGCCATCGGTATAGAAGAACTCAATTGCATTCACTGGGACCACTCAGTCAAACCTCCAACAGCATGGCCATTGCATCCAAGTGTTCGCCAAAGACCCATTAAATGTGCACCAAAATTTTAAATAAGCTCTCAGACAGAATATATTGCTTAGATGCAATTTCAGCATCGGCTGCCATTTAACAAAGCCTTGAGTTAGGAAACGCTCGACTGGATGCTATTTTAGACCAAGAATCTTTCTAATCTATTTTCTAAATAGTGCGAAGTGAAGGTAGTTGTTCAGTTAGTGCATATTTTTCCTCTAATGCGTTTGTCTTGGACAGATTCAATCAGTTCTCCCAAAAGGGTCCTAAATAACCTTCTTTCCTTGAAAACATTTTTAATTATTTGGATCCATGTTTTCCACATTTTTACGCATATCGGATATTTCCTTGAGAAACTAAGGAACTAAAGTTAACTGATACTCTCTAAAGCACTCACGCATGAGATGGTAAGCTAAAGTAGGTGCTACCGAAATTTCGGACCGTCGGAAACTTTAAAGGGCTTGCTGATCATGCGAGAACATTTCTGCTTCGACGTTAGACCAAGCTCGCCTGAGGCTTCGAACGCCCTTTGGCTAACAGCTAGATTATGAGGCTGCGTCAGAAAATAGATATGGACCAGTCAAGTAATCTGACAGCTTCAATGAGCAAAGACACCCGGAGCAAAATAAAAGCATCGCCTTACAATGTGGCGCTCCTCCAGAAAAAACACTGCAATGCTTCTGAATCAATCTTGCGGCTACTCTCAGGCAATGTCTTATATGATAAATCTTGACAATCCCAGAATTACCGTGATCGTGCCCTGCCGTTTACCTCCAAATACTCTGCAGTTTTAATGAAATTGAAAAACAGCAGAGATACCGAGAGTTATCTCCCAATAGACATTTTAATTGTAAATGGACAGTCTGTTGACATCCGTTTTGCAGATCGGGGTATCGGGCAGGACTGACCGATTCCTTCTTCACGCACTAGATCGTGGTACTAGATACATGACGCTGATTTAAAAGCCTTGTAGGCCGATAAGAAGTAGACGCGATTACTGGGACAGGAATTTTTTTCCTCAGACGTCTTAAATTTATTCGAGCGTTTACCTGATGCTATATCTGGTGCTCGTTTCGAATGTGAATCATAATCGTCAGACGGAGGAAATCTTTGTTTCAGCTACTGCATTTTCGTTTTCCTGACTACTTCCTGGAACATAAATTTTCGCCTGCATTTTGGCCGTTTTTCGATAGCGTCACCTTCGCCATGTTCATAAAAGGTAAAGGAGCAGAGGATACGGGAATCAAGATTTATGGCTTCGTCAAATTCTTACGCGCTATCACTACACTTGGCAACTCAGCAAGGGAAGATGCAAGTGGCTATGTTGGCGGCGGACTTCATGTTTATCTCTGGCTCGAGGTCTAATGGCTCGGGATAGTGAATGCTCCATCATAGGACAGGGTGTTGTCATGCCATCGCTCTACTTACCGTGTTTAAGTAAAACTCACTATCACAATGTTTATGGGCGTGTTAACGAAACCATATGCCACTCATCGGCCTGTGAATTTCAAATATTGCCTTTCTCTTATGACCCCACAGGTAACTGCAACAGAAAGAAGACGGCTCGGAAAAAAGGCGCTTTATTGACCGTCTTTGTTAACCCGATGTTAGAAACGGGATTGACGGAATTCTCTCTTTAAAGCGCGTTAGGAACAAGTTTTGTGTGTCCTTCAGCGAATCGATTTTAATGCCTTAAATTTTATTGAACTTTTCCCCTGAGCACTAAGTTATTATTATCTTAATGCATGTACGTGGAGTTTAATGGTGAATCAGCTTACGTACCTCAACAAATAAGCATGCTTTAGAAAGCAAAAACCCGACGACTACTGTTTGAGCTTAAAGTTATATGCATTGATTGCCAGTAGCATTACTGTGCGAATAGGTTTTCCTAGAGTTTAGTATGAAAGTGACGGTAAGAGACTTGCAGCATCTGTCGGAGACTGGCCGTGATCCTCTCTGTCGGCCCATTTTCCTGTCTGCGCGTCCTAGGTTTTAGTCCTAGTAAGTCGACCACCGAAAAATGCTGTATCTATGGGCTAAGTGCTCATGCCAGTAGGCTAAAATCGGGTAACGCTCAGTCAGATTGGAGTAACGCATTCCGATCTGTCCTGGTTAGAGGGCGGAATTGTAAATATGGTTTAAAGTTAATTGTCCACAGCCAACGCAGCCGACCTCATGGTGGCTATCAATCACTAATTACCCTGGAATGCAATGTTGTTTGCTTAGGGTGAGATGAAAGTACCGATTGGCTTAGTTTGCCCTCCGATCGCTGTTTGCGTATTTCATAAAACATTAACTAAGATTTTTACGTGTAAATTTAGTTAGAAAAATCATCTTAGATAGGGGTGTAATACTGATTATCGTGTCCCATAAACTCAAAATATTTCAGCCCTATCAGGATGCCGGCTTTTGAAAGCGCGTCTCCCCAACTGCCTCGGAAATCACACTCATTGAGAATGATGGATTAGGCAATATTTACTTCTTCGCTGATTTTGAAGCCCTTATAAGTATAGAAATATTTTGTAACATGCACATAATATTCTTTTTACGCCTACTTTGTATAAAATAGTGCTTTCTTCACATGCTTTGCGCGAAAAAAACAGGACCTATCGATTTAGGAAGCATGTGCTTGTGAGATTTTATTGACTGCTTAATGTCTGTTCAAACGGTATCGTATATTTCCTTTTATTAATGCTCCGTATAAGATAATTATTGCGAACTTTTAGGAACGTCACATGGCATCTTTTTTAATTATGCAGAGTAGTGTCTAGTTTTCCTTAAATAGAAAATGCGCGGCTTATCGTCTGTAAATCATAAACGCAACCGCATAGGCAGAATGCTTTCGAAAATATTTAGAAATTGTAAAATTTCTTAAAACTGGAAGATCCCGTTTATTTAAACAAAAAATTGTAGAAGATGGTCAGCTTTTCGAAATACATCACTAACTGTACGCTACAGCTCTTTTTCGGGTGGACAATTATCGCTTCCAGTATCATTTTCTGCAGATCCAAGTGCAATGTTCAAAAGGTAGTCATTAGTTGGGTTATGGAGTTGGATACTTCATCCAGAAGGTGTTCTGCTTGCAAATAGACTTTGAACAGTTTCGGTCTGCTGCTCCGAAAATGATGGCCAAAATCACCCCTTGATGTGGTCAAACCTATGTTGAAATTGTCACCCGAATAGCCCTATCACGCTAGCTTATCGATCTAATGACGTTGTTGTAATTTTAAGTATTTAGCCAAACGGGGCGGTATGTGCTGAACTCTTATAATCCACTCCGCAAGTCCCCTGATTCCCCACCAATAGGTTACTTATTCTACTTTTATCTTTGAAAGTGATGTTCGTTTATTACCAGTGGGAACTAATTATGAAGGGAGGGATGGGTGAGTGTGACTGATCCTGCGTACACCAGGCGTTGTTTTCAGTTGCTGCTTGGCGAGATTGTAGGCACCTCATACGCGAATACCTGGCACACACGTCACGTTAAGAATCATGTGATCACTGTTTTCGAATGACTGCGGTTTTCTCGCGTCCAGTCTCGAAGACATTCAACCGAATACCCTCACAAACCCAGGGATCATTCAATCAACTGACCTAGTTGGTGCTGACTGTTTTCGCATGAGCCATACGCTTCAACAATAATGAAAATTCGATTCCAAGGTAGTATGTCAGGAGTAGGAAGGGCGTTCGCCGGGAGGGCTTTATGTTCGTTCCGGCTTTTAGAGCAGTTACTTCGTCTACTCATCGTACTTTGCAGAGTGGCGTACACAGTTATTTTTATATAACATATGGGTAGCATGAGCGTTTTTTTGTGATACGCAGATAATCAAAGCCGTATGTGGGTGCGAAGCCAATTATCATGCCGCCATGGTTTATGTAGGTCTCACCGTCGTTGATTGCGACGATAACTGGCGCCAGCGACGGAGTCATGCCCCCACTAGCTTCGGTCAGGTAGATTCGCAAAACCAGATGGAAACTGGGAGGTATACGTGATTGTTGGCCGATCGTTCACTGTACCTCCAGGCCTCTAGTCCCTGCCTTGACGAGTGGTCGTCATCTCAGCCCAAAATCTGAACGGCATCAGGGTTGTTAATGTGTCCCATCTCCGCGGCGTTGGTTGACAACTCCGTCTTTTGTTTTAACCTACGAACGGTCAACTAATGTTAAGGTACTCGTTGTCGAACTTTGTTATATTCGCACCTACATCGCCATTGTACAAAGACACGCCTGGGCTTTGGGCGGACGGCGCATCGGACCTCAGATGGCCATCAGGCGGTACAAAACTAGCAGTTCTTACTGATGTCCGCTTTCTTACTTTATTTGCGAGAGCGGTCTGGTTATGTTTGTTGTGAAGTACGCTGATGATCTTTGCCGCCAGGTGATAAATAGTCTCATTTTCGGATTAAGGCACAGGCTACGATGAACCCCCTCACTGTTGCCTCCAAATCGTATTTCTTACCCATGTGAGATTCCAGATATTTTAGTCTGGTTAGTGTGTGTATAGACACCAACCCATCATATGGCAAGCGCCGATGAAGGATTTATTCCATGTCAGTCATTATAGCAATACCGATTATCGGTCACATTTACTCTGCGTTGTTACTGGAACACGCGGAATGTAGGAAGGGAATTAAATAGATACTGCGAAAGTTTTTTCTCCATAGCTTAATCCACTAATTTGTATTGCTCCCTGCGCCAGTTTAGGCCCTGAACGCTTAAAACTGATGACTCGCCAGGTGCTTTTGTCTGGACCCTAATGCGCACTGAGGATAAGGATCCGCGGGTGGTGCAAGAATATAGGTTGACATAGAGGGAGCGAAGGCAACGCTAATTCGGATGAGGTCACGGTGGATAGGGGCCACTTGACTCAACAACCATCGCGGGAAGTTTTGAGACTCAGCTGAATAGGCTAGAGCCGCGGTTAGACTTATGGATGTACTGGCGACAGACGAAGTGAATTTGCAAGAGGAGTACAGGACAAGCGTATTTCACTAGAGATGGATAGACAAAAGCGCAGATGACCGGGATCGTTTTCGTGACCCTCATTGTGGACGAATAATGAGGATGCTGCTTGAGCTATGAGGACCAAATAGCGTTTATGAAGGCGCAGTTCAGGAAGGAAAATTTAAAGAGGGTTTACAGAAATTTGCGTCCGGGCCTGAAAAGGCAGGCTGTTTCAATAAGGGCTTGAACCACTCAAAGTGATCAGTGTGAGATGGTTCGTCCATCGAGTCTGAGGAGGGCCGCGACTGGCATAGGTCCAGCATCGGATGTCCCATATTGATGTTACAGACACTTCAACGTAGCATCCGTCAGTCTGGTCGTTTTGTTGTTGGGTCATGCTCCCTGAAATGAGATCACATGATTTCTGAGGTTTACATACCGAGATTCGTGGTGGTGAATTGATAGGAGAATTAGTGGAAGATTGTGGTGAAAAAAGATATTTCCAAGCATGGTGAATCGAACATATGATGCGCATTCATGGTGCAGTAAGTTGGGAGACTGGCTAGCGGTGGCAATGGTGCTGGCCACAGCATCCTCATGGTTGCCGTATTCATTGCTATAACAGTAAATGCAAAGGTGCTCACTGAGGTTAGTCGGGATCCTGGCCATGCAAAAACGATGAGAACACATTGGAAGGGGTCCGTCGGTGAGAGATTTACTCATCCGCAGCCCATGCAAACGTCTTACCTTTCTCTCCGGTTTTCTCTATTCGGTTGGTTTCGCAGGGTGTGGCTTTTCCCTTTACAGTAGATTCCTTTGTTTGCTGACTTCCTTTTAGATTTCACTGAACCCTGGGATCGTTCTCAGACATTAAAATAAGGCGTTATATTCAAGCAAATGGTGCATTTGGCTTTGCCGATACTGGCCACCTTCAGTAAGATCGTCAAATAATAACTATCTCAATAGGCACACATTAGACATCCTCACGACTTGGCCGTTCAATCGAAATTGAGTCTGTCTCGGCATTGCAAATATTCTGTTTAGACAAGTCCGATGGATAACCCGAATTACTGTGACCCTTTTTGCACATGACCTTAGGGAACTCCGCATACAGCTCATGCAGACCTTAACATGGGTATAAACGTGTCAACATATACGAAGGTTGTTAAAACCTAGGGCATACTTTGCGCATATTTTCATTATAATTTCGATAGAGCACTCAGGGTGCTTGCCCACATCTCTCGATCTCTGTCCAGGAACTAGTCAAACCTCCAGCTGGCAGACCGCCGTGTCTGGAATTTTATTGGTGTTCTGGTAGATTCTAAAGTGCTGTTCGCCGGACATAGCTATAGGACCGCCCACTACCCTAATGTGCCTTCCAGAGGTCGATGTGAGTAGTCGACCCTGAGTCATGTTCATTCACACAGTTGGCTGTCGTCCTTCGCACCATTATTGTTAAAACAGACAAGCAGACACAACCCCAGTAAACATATGATTATTTGGGCCACTGCGGCCGCCAACATGAGTGATACATAACGATTTTTTCGAGCTTGATGGATGCGACTAGAGCAAGTTTGAGACTTTAACATAATGTGACCAAACATTACTCCCATTCCTTCCCTCTTTCCCACTTCAATAGATGCTGTACTAAAACCCTCGCCAAACGTGAGTCCTTACGAGATCATAATCCACGAGAACGCTACCATGCCGGATCGTCCCTACGGGGCGGACTTTGTGGAGCATGAGCCGATGAAGCTACCGCATGAGGAGATGACCGCAGGCGTCCGCGGAGTTCTGCTAGAAAAAATGAAGCTTTGGCAACAGAACAGGGGAAGCTCACAAAAACAGCAACAGGATAAAACGCGTCAAGACATTAACACAGACGTGGCCTCTGGTCAGGATTTCTTTGATGAGATTGAACTTGCGCGACCAGATACAGGGGCTCTGATGGACAGTGTCATGAATCCGCAGACAAGGAGGCTGAACCATGTATGGCTTTTGCCGGACATACCTTTCCCATCCGGCCTACAGGGGACGGAGATGACGGCCACGACGAAGTCGTTTTCACTGGCACCGACACCTAAGGAACGAGGAGTTAACGCACCCGGTCATCATATACGGGACTTTGTATATGTGTGAGTCCCTGCCCACTTGGCCATTTAACTCACAAATAATGTAATTTTCAAATAACTCAAGATTAACCTCATCCTCCCACAAAAACCATGCTTTAGAAGCAAGCGCAAATCTCAGTAAACATGACCTATTTATGAATTTTTGGTTACAGCTGCTTTCCGGATTCAAACTCGCTATTGGGCGTAAACTGAATCAAATCATTTGCCAGTCTAGAAAGTGTGTCACCCTATGAATGGGTCACGGTCCCACTAACGTTTCATTGACCATTTAACTCCACTAGCATAGCAACCACTCGTCAATGGCCTGACCTAGTTCCGTTATCTGCCCGAATGACCCAAGATAGATAGAATTATATTTTGCGGCCGAGGCCACCGAAGCAGAGTGCCGGCGATTGCCGCTATCCATGACGAAACTCGAGACTGTGCCAAGGTGTGAATATCTGGTAGGCGCATCCACGCCCACCTCGAAACCTGGCATGGGATGGTCGCGTCCTTGATTTACGCTGACTCTGAAATCGTTTGATAGGGACATCGGCGGAGACCTTTGCAGCAGCTCCAACGAAGTATACGCCGCCGTAGTTCTCGCACTTTGTCTTGGCTCTCTTCTCGAAAATAAACGCAGGGATATCCGAGTCTCAGTTACCAGGAGGGAAATCATCTTCCCACGTTTGCATAATTAACTTACGGGGCCAGGACGCCAGAGTGTCAACGCAGGCCTTGTAGATTTAAGCGAGAATACCGTTCTCTCGGCGTTTTTGCGCAGCTTCCGAATTACACTGACGAATTTTCCCTAAGAAGGGGTAAAATGACACTACATGGACTGCAGAGGGATACAACAGCGCTGTTGATGAAAACCAGGACGGGATGGGTTGGTCACCGAAGTTGAGAAGGTACTCGGAAGACTCGCCCCTGCATTCGGTTGAAGTCGAGTGCAGGGTCGAGCCCTCCAAGCACCTTCTTTACTAAAGTCGCAATTCACGTCGCGAACAGCCTGCCAATCATTTGACGAATAATTCGGTAGTTTTCGTGTGTCCAAGGACATTTCAGGCCGGCCCTAGGCAGGTGGCCATTTCAGTCTTGTAGTTTTAGCGGTTTTCCCTATCCCGCTCTGCCGTCGTTCTCCAGGGTCCGCGGAAGGAGTGACCGTTGCGAAATCCAGTCCGAGTTATCTGGGCAGACACATTGAAATTCCTTAAGACGATTTAGTCGTTTTGGCATCATTAGATTTTCCTAAGTTGCCTTGTTGACTGTAGATTTCGATAACGATCACTTTATAGTACCCTCTCATTCGACCCTGGTCGCAAATCGAGATCGAACTATTGTGCTCACAGCTTTAGCTGTGCTGGTTCGTCATAATTTTGCTATATCAGGGTGTCTTTCACGTGATAGTTGGAATGCAGACGAGAAGTGAACTATTAGCCGTGTTTGAACGAGAACATCGGCGTGAACCGGAATAGTTGATTTGAATATGTTTTGAGGTTTTTCGGGAATTTTTATTGCAGGCGGTTGTCAAACGGTCGCTCGGATTGTTTGTTCAATGCTGTCTATTCTAGCGCATTTCCACATACACCTGCCCAAAAGACAGCAATGTTATGCGATGGTGGATCATAACTGCCATATGACTGTGCCATCTTCGAGCCTTGCAGCCTTTTATGGAACCGTCGTTGGCCAAATCTCAACCATCAGGCTATTGCTTATTTTATCAGACCCGAGAGCATGCTTACTTCGCAGGTAGTCTACGCTGAAGGCTGTTCCACACTCCGCCACCTGTGAATGCGCCTGGTATCAAGAACATATGCTTATGGGGAACCCGTCTTCCTGGGTGAGAAGATATCGGACTGTTTTGAACTTATATTGTATTCACTCAACGAATTATTATCCTAGTCATCATCCGACAGTTAAATCCTCGCAAGTGACGATGTCAACCGCTTGCGCCAATGAGAAGATGCAATATCGGTGGCTTCCGCGCGGATTAGGTTGTGATGAGGTAACCTTGCAAAGTACCCGCCACAAGCCCTATCCCCCATCCACCTTGATCTGATGGCAGAACGAAGCCAAAATGACCGGAAGTCAGCCCAGGTACAGTGTCTCTCAAAGCCAAACAGCCCGTCTGCGCGGGCCGCACACGCCCCAGTCCCAACTCCGGTCGTACCACGTTACTGTAATGTCGGCAGCAGCCTGACTCTCACTCCTGAGAGGGACCGAGTTATCTCATCGGTTGGCAGCTTTCGAAGTCACAACCCTTAGTGCATCTTTATAGATTCAAGCGTATTGGATTTGTTATGGAGATGGGTTCCCAACTGTCGGCCTCACGCTTTCTTTCGTATCCCAAGCACCAATCCACTGTCCGAATCTTTCTGCCTAGTACTGATGAGATTGGATACAGCGGCTGTCAGAGCCAGACTTTCCATCTGCATGTGCCACATGCAAACTAGTCCTCCTTTCATAGACCAAGCTACGCTAAAGGAAAATTTTTCCACGTGGATGTTTGCCTATCGCCTTTCCGATGTTGGAAACGTAGATCACATGTCTGCTGAAGGAGAGGGCAGGGGGTGTTGTGGTTGTGTATGAGGCTGTGGTGAATCTCGCTGTCGTATATGCATATGTAACCGAGTTGTCCCATACAGTGTCTGAATGTTCTGGCGCAGTTTGAGCAGATGAGGCGTGTGTGGCGGATTTGTATTAGGGCCCCATGCACAAGTTCGTCGGTCTCGGTGCGATGGACTCGCAAGTTACCGATTAGACCTAAGCCTGATGAGAAAGTGTGTTCGAAATGGGAACAGGTTGGAAGTATGTCCATATTATTGGTGGCAGGAGCAGTGATAGTGAAGTGGTATAGAGACCGGTTCACATTTCCTGTCACTTTTTCTGCAGTTGGCGGACTGCGAAAAGCGTGTCTGTGGTTCCGCGGTTTTTTTCGAAATGAAAGCTGCTTTGCTGGGAAAAGTCCCTGCCCCAGATGCGTATTCAGGCGGTTGGTTTGGACACGGGCGAAGATTTTTCCTGCAGGATTGCGGAGGGAGCTGCCTCTGTGATTACCCCAAAGTTTCCGGTTGCATTTACCCTTGCAGCTGTTCACGATGGGGACATCTCTGAAGTCATGTTGAACGTGCCCTTGTAGTTATATCTTCTAGAACAGGATGATAAGATTCTCCATGAGCTGTGGTCCGTCGTACTTGCAAACTTGCTGAAATTGTGTCTGTTCACGAGGTTTTTCCACTTGACAGTTCGTGCACTTCTCTGGTTGTCTCAGGGAGAGAAGACGGAAGATCAACTTCGTCGTTGCTGTACACTTGAGGAAGTCGGTTTATGGCTTCTTCTCATATTGTTGACAAGTGGTTGAAGATTCCCTGGAAGTGCTCACTGCAGCAATGAATAATCTGTGGCTCCTCCTTCAGGAGGGCTGTTCCATCCTGCCTCAACAGTGGCGTCGTCCACTTGGCCTGTGGAACGTCGACTGTTTTGATGGTCGCGAAATTCTTCAGCTCGGCACAATCGGCATATTCCTGGACCTCCTCAACTTTGCGAGTCAGCCGGTCGTTTTACATCTCCCTTAGCCTCTACTGTACTATGCATCGCAAACGGAATTATGCGGCGTTATATGCATTACTGCTGTTGATGGTGTAGATCGTGTGTAGCCTGCGTTTCTCGAAGAAGTGTGTGCGGATCTCTTCGTCATTTCATCGAACCAATCCTGTTGCTGACGACGTGCATGGGCGTGGGCTTTCTTCACGATGACCCAGGATGCCATCCCGCAGCTCCCTCCACTGGATATCGACACTGGTGTGCGCCTCCAGGATTTGCATTTCTTCCAGTTCGAATTTCATGCAGTTTCTAAAATCCCATCGACGTCCAGCCGTATCAAGTAACACAGTATTTAACTTATATGATATTCAAAAGGCAATTTGGCGAGCATACGTCTGCTTCCGATAAATTCTCTTCAGGCCTGTACATTTGTATGTCTATTGGATTAATTAATTAAAAGATACTGGAAAGTTAATAATTATGCTGTAGTTCGGGTTTGGGTAGGGGAGTGGGAGAGGAAAATACCAAAATTCCAGTTAACGTCAGGCAGAAGGTGGGCCTCGGGGATGGTCATTATATGCGGGTTGCTGGCTTGGTGGCTTTGAACCATGGCAACTGTGAGACCTGTATGAAGTTATTCTGTGCGCATAGGGCCGGTTCGCGTAGCCTGATTGCAACCGCCTCTGCCGTAGCTAACAGGCGCTGCCCAAGTAGTTTTAGATAGCTTGAGGGTACCTTATTAATCACTCTGAAGTCCTCACTGACGTCTACAGAGTGGTCTGTGCCTAAAATGCGCGCGAGGATAGAGCTGTTGATGTTCTTTATTTGGCCCTTTCCTAACCATCATGGGAGATATTCTTCTACTCTTTTGGACAAACGCCGGCTCGTGCGACCAATATATTCTGCCCACAGGAGCAGATGAAGAAGTACATACATAGAGGTGGTATATATTAACTTACCTTATGGTCGCTTGGGGATTTGTACGTGGAACCTCATCTTGGAGGCGACAGCGCGGTGATCAATCCAGCAGTTGACCCCACAGATCGCATTTGCCCCTCGCAAACCCCGCTTCTCACGCCTACCAAATAGAATATAGTCCAGCTAATGCCAGGAACGCGAGCGTGAGGGCTTCCATGCCGCTTTCTCCCACATCAGAAGTCGGAAGATGGTGTTGGTCAGGAGAAGAATGTGTTCGTGCAGGGGGCTGTAGGAGTGTCCAGTGATGGATTCACGTGACGGATGTGGTAGGTCGCTCACTTGCTTGCATGTGTAGGCTACGCCTTGCGTCCATTTCATGGCCCCCAACTCTCAAATGTGGCTCCCCGAATTTAAGCTATGCGTAGCGGCCACACTCCGGTAACCGCCCCAACCTGCGCGTTAAAAAAGGTGAGGGTATCCGTATGCATCTCCCTGCACGGTAAGGTCGACTTCGCTGGCCGGATGAATCTTTGCAACGGCATCGTCGAGACGAGGCTCCGCCTGGTACACCGCAGGAGACCACAAGCTTACCGCGATTTCGTAGGCAGTCCCAGACTTACTCGGGACGCCTCCCACTAAACAAAAGCCGTGGCCCATAGTGGAGTTCGGCAGTGGCCTGATGCGCAGCCCTAGTTAGGGAGAGCACTGCGCATCCCCGCGAGGGGGTAGGGACTAGAAAAGGTGCCCTAAATAAAAGCTGGGGAACCACGCCGTCCGCAGGCCGACCGTGTTCGCAGACTCAAAACACACGGTCAAAACACTCAAAATCGAAGCAACACACACACTCTCTCTCTTCTCCTCCCACCTCCCAGCCGCCCCACTAGCCAGACTGGTAGGGTGAGTTCGCTCATTCTGGTAGTCTGGAATGTTCGCTCCCTTTCAAACAATCCGAGGAACAACCAACCGGGACGGAGAACGGCGCTAGTGGTTCGGCAACTCGCGCGCTACTAGGTGGACATCATTGCAATCAGCGAGACCCGGTTCTCCGAACAAGACAAAATGGAGGAGGTTGGTGCCGGCTAAATCTTCTTCTGGAGCGTTCGCCACGGGGCAGAGCAACGGGACGCGGGTGTCGCATTCGCCATCCGGAACGACATCGTGGGACGACTGTCCTGTCTGCCGCAGGACATCAACAATCGCCTGTTGAGCCCCCGCCTGCAAATTCGCCGCCATCATCAGTGCCTACGCTCCACCGATTACCAGCCCTGACGCCGCAAGAGACAAATTCTACGAAGACCTGCACGCCCTCCTGGCGACTGTGCCGAAGGCGGATAAGCTGATTGTCCTTGGTGAATTCAACGCCCGCGTCGGCACAGACCATGCTGCCTGGAGAGGAATGCTGGGTCCCCATGGTCTCGGCGGCTCCAAATGAGGGACACAGACCCGTCGACGGCCCTGGCCGTCTTCGGTCGCGCACGCCGCCAACACCAGGACTGGTTCACTGGCAACGATGCCGCCATCAGCAATCTGCTCGCAGAGAAGAACCGCCTGCACAAAAACCTACGTAGACCACCCCACTGACGACAACAGAGCTGCCTTCTACCGTAGTCGCCGCCTTGAGCTGCATCGGCTGCGTGAGATGCAGGACGCTTGGACGGCTCGCAAGTCCGAGGAAATCCACGGGTACGCGGACCGAAACAAATGGAAGAACTTCTTCGTCGCAATAGAAGCTGTTTACGGTCCAGCGATTGAAACAACTGCATTTATTCTCAGCGCCGACGGCAGTACTCTTCTCACCGAGATGACATAAATTCTTCAGCGGTGGACCGATCACTTCCGAGGCGTCCTCAACCGCCCCCCCCCCCACCATCTCCGACGCCGTCATCGTCCGTCTGCCTCAAGTAGAGACCAACGTCGACCCCGACGTCCCGTCCTCTCTCCACGAAACCTGCAGGGCCGTGCAAACGCTCCCCAGCGGTAAAGCGCCTGGATCGGACGCGATCCCTGCTGAGATCGACAAGCGCGGTGGTCCCCAACTCATGGATCATCTGACGGTGCTCTTCCGGGAGATGTGGTGTGAGGGAGAAGTCCCACAGGATTTCTAAGACGCCACCATCGTCCATCTCTATAAACAGAAAGGTAGTCGCCAACTCTGCGATAACCATCGAGGCATCTCCTTGCTGAACATTGCCGGGAAAATCTTTGCTCGAATCCTTCTCAACCGCCTGAAAAGCCAGTGCGGCTTCCGTCGTCATCGTGGCACCACGGACATGGTCTTCGCCGTCCGTCAACTTCAGGAGAAGTGTCAGGAGAGATGCGGATCCACCCCTACTCTACCTTTGTGGATCCGACGAAAGCCTTCGACACGGTGAATCGCGGAGGACTGTGGAAAAGCATGCAGAAATTCGGCTGTAGCCAACGACTCACACAGATGGTGCGTCTGCTCCACGGTGGCATGATGGCGCAAGTCAAAGACAATGGAGATATCTCAGAGGCGTTCGCAGTGACCAATGGAGTGGAGCAGGTCAACATCATCGCGCCTACGCTCTTCAGTCTCATATTCTCTGCCATGCTGATGGACGCCTACTGGGACGAACGCCCTGGGATCCGCATCGCCTGCAGGATGAACGGCCACCTCCTCAATCAGAGGCGGATGCACTTCCAGTTGCGTGCATCCACAACCACTGTCCACGAACTTCTGTTCGCCGACGTCTGCACCCTCAACACCACCTCGAAAGCGGACATGCAAAGTAGCATGGACCTCTTCTCCGCCGCCTGCGAGAACCTCAGACTGGCCATCAACACGGAGAAGGTGACTGTCATGCACCAACCGCCACACAACACGCCATCCCCCACAATGCGCCGCAAATCAGCGTGAACGGAACCCTAATGCAAGTGGTGGCCAAATTCACGTATCTGGGCAGCATCCTCTCCCGCAGCACCAAAATCGACAATGAAGTGGCCCGCTGGATTTCTAAGGCCAGTCAAGCCTTTGGCCGCCTTCAAAGCACAGTTTGGAATCGCCACGGTCTTCAACTCAGTACGAAATTGAAGATGTACATGGCAATCATACTGTCGACACTGCTGTTTGGAGCAGAGACGGATGAAGGACGAGAGGCTACCTAAACCACTCTTCTTTGGAAATATCGTGATGGGTTCACGCCGACAGGGAGGTCAAGTCCGCGCTACAAGGATACTATGAAAACCTCCGTGAAGCACATTCAGATCAACATGGCAAACTGGGAAGATCTCGCTCGACACCGACATACGCGGAGTGGAACAGTGAAGACAGGCGCAACAATCTTCGAATCCAACCACATCAGCGCCGCCAAAGTCAAGTCTGAGACACACAAATCATAACTCCCGCCGCCGACGCCGCCGCCGTCTCACAACGCCAACGCCCAACCGTCCCCCACGATGTCAAGGGACATTCCGGAGGGCAATTGGACTTATTGGACACCTCCGGACCAACTGCAGTTCCCGGACTGCACCAACCATCGTCTCTCTGTCCATCTCTCCCTCGCCCTTTCCGCCGTCAATTAACGTTGACCACCTTCCCGAACCACTACTGCCACCCTCCTCCTCGTCCTACCCCATCGCCTCAACGTCTACCGCTGTGGCATCTGCCATGCTCATCAACCCTACACACAATCCTGACACACCAACAAACACTAACACCACCACCGTCAACACCAATGATGAGGACCCGGTCCACACATGTCCTCTGCGACCGCACGTTCACCTCACACACCGGCTTGGTCGGTCTCTTGCGAATCCATCGCACAGAGAGTGGCGAACCGTGCCCGGAGCCCCAACCTACACCCGCCGCATTCGCCTCCACTGTCCATACTGCCCTAGCACATTAATACACGGCATGGGCTTATTCAGCCACATGCGTATCCACGAGCGCGGAACTGAGCACAATCTCTACACACCTAATACATCCAGCACACCCATCATGCCTAGACCAGCTGACACTCCGCCGCCCTGTGCGCCCACCGCCACCAGCTCTATCGCATTCAGCACATCTTGCACACCTACCATGCTCAGCCCAATCAACGCCCCGTCGCCCAGCGCGCCCACCACCACCAGCTCCACCATCTCCGTCACCGAAGCTGATACTGATACCGTCGACTTCTCATGCCCACACTGTCCCCGTACATTCACCCCACGCATCGGCCTAGTCGGTCACTTGCGAATCCATCGCACAGAGACTGGCGAACCAGTGCCTGGAATACCAACCTACACTCTCCGCATCCGCCTCCACTTTCTACATTGCGCTCGCACATTTATTCCCCGCATGGGTCTATTCGACCACATGCGCGTCCACGAGAACCTGCGGATGACAGCCGTCGGCTGCGTCACACCATCACATCCTCCCTCACCAGCATCTCACCGCACATCAACATTACCCACCGCAAGCACCCAACTGCCACCCCCTACGCAAGGGAAAGGTGTGCGTCTCGGCTCATTCTCCATATGGCTCCCTGTTGCATGTGTGATTCGAGTCTGAGACGAATAGGGTGCGGCGATTGCAGTGTCTGGGATGACAGCCGACTGACACCTCAACTCAGTCCACTCAGTATGCCCGGTTGTCTGTGTGATTATATGGAATGGTGGACTTGCTAAGAGTCAGGCTGTCACGGCCCTTCTCAAGCGATCTGTGACACTTCCATGCATAGGAGAACAGTGTTTGTGTATGTGTGTGTCCTTTATGGGTAGTGCCTATCAGTCGACAACTGTTTTGTTACCCAACCTTGAAGGGTGACGGGCCAGGCTAAATGCAGGACCATGTGTCGCCCTTCTAGATCAAAAGGTCTGGAAGCGTGCCCTATGTCAGTATCAGCAAACCATGGCCCTCGCAGCCTGCAGTGCGCTTGCAGTTCCCTGACACCTGGTTCCCTGCGGGTAGATGCGCTTGCGCTCTCGCTGAGTATACAGGTGGTGGGCATGACTGCCTAGCTTGCCTTGTTCTTCTGATCCCTGTTGGGTTGTTGTTGTTGGTGAAAAATCCTGATCAAGTGTATCTTGTGAACCAGGGGGTGTGGTAGCACGCTTATGTGCGGGTCCGGCCGTGCCAGCCGCCTGTGCTCTCCCCTGCCTCCGGTCTACTTAACTTTGCCTTGACACCGGGTCCAGGTGGGGAGTGGGGAAGAGAGAGTGCGGTAGATGCTGCGCAAGTCTATTATCACTATAAACTAATTCACGCGCAAGTCACCGTGCCTGCTGCACCTTACTGCGTAATGAACGGTGGACATCGTCGGAATCGACGACCGAACTGTTGGATAGACAACCCGCTTGCCTAGTTCGCCTCTTTGTAGGATCTCTGTTTGGGGTCGGCGAGGGAATTTTTGGATAAGTTCGGGAACTGCAGCGTGTGATGATACGCACACGCCGGACACCATTTGGTTTAGCTCGCCAGACAAGGGCGGCTATCGGGGTGTGATCGCCAGACTGAGAACGACTTTACGGAATCAAAGATGAAGACTGGGTATAGGAATAGGGCGATATAAAAGTGTCCAATACGTTCATTGATGCGTTTGCCGGGAGTCGCAGGTGTATTGCTTATAGGAGCTCGCCATCCTCGTGCCCGTGTCTGCTCTAGCAGTCTCAGACGGATTTGCCTACGCTGCATCTCCGTGAGCGGTAAGTACCGGCAATGTACATGTGGTAATGTATCGATGTCTGGAGTCGTTCAACGTCCATTCATCAGTGTCACGAAGCTGGGATGGCTGTACAGCTTCAAAGTAGGCCTCCGCCTACGACAATCCGCACACCAAATAAGTATTACCAACTTGTTAACCACGCTCACAGGTGACTCTCCAATGTCGACGTTTTTTACTGAAATGATCTTGTGACGATTAGAAGGGCATACTATCTGAACTCCCAAGCAGAAAATGTGTCCACCTACTGGACGGCACTTTCGTTACGATAGGGAACTGCGAAGTTAAGCGACCGCATTAGAGGTTGAGCAGTGTTTCATGGCTTTGACGTTCATCTGCAAAGAAACCACAGGAGACAACTTCACCTTCCTAAATTTGATTATTCAAAGGTTGAACAATGTAAACTTCGCAATAAGTCTCTTTAGAGAAAGCTCTAATGTCGAGAATATTTTAAGTTATGACAGCAGCCATTCTGCGTCCCTCCAAAGAAGCTGTATCGGAGCTCTTTTCCATCCGAACGTTTGTTGCCGCAGCAGAGATAATCTGTTTAAGAAAGAAGTGACTTCCCTGTATCGGTTCTTCTAGCCCAACGAATAACCAGTCGTGCTTGTGAAAAACTGTCTCAGACGTCAGAGACAAACAATAGGCGGTTTCTTTTTACCGTTCTCGCCCATGAACTCGCAGCACCTTGCCTTCCCTTGATCAATCCTCAGACGGTATTTGCAAAGACCTCATATGTGGTAAAGGACTGGGTCTTTCTGACTTATATTCGAAGACCCCTTGGAAGATCATCCGACAATTAACTCAGTATGGTATCTGCCCTTCTTTCACGTCGGCGTCCTTCTTGCGTACATCACTACCTCGGGATAAGAATCTCATACCCAAAGAACGAGAAATTAACGTCATCTGCTGTATCCTAGGTGATAATTTCGCCTGCGGCTATGCTATCAAAACATTTTGATGACGTGTGACCCTTTCTAACGAACGTAGACCAGCTCTCCGTCGACATAAAGTATTGTCTTTCATCTTAACGCACGCCCTTGAATGTGACCACAGGTCCAATTGAGACAATACCGAAGTGATAGTCACGGCCAACAAAAAACGGACATGGGATTTTACTTGAGTACGGTATTCTTACACAATCCATATTAACAGCTCTTTTGGTAGATTTTGAATGACTCATGTTTCACCACTGGGACAATCTCGACGCCTCGGGGGAATTCAAACCCATGACAGCAAGGGGGGCTTTAGTACAGCCAACGCTCTAGCTACCTGAGCTACGCGGTCCCACGGGGGAACGTGAGTTTAATCGCATTTGGGTCAAATAACCCGCCCAACCTACTGCAACTTCTGGAATGCACCAAATCGATACAGTAAGCTGACAGCTCAAACAGGATTTCCTAAGTATTCCATCTGGAATCCACCAGATGACTACCAGGCTCACGTAATTAATAGTTGTTTTGGCAGATTTTGAATAATTCATTTTGACCTTACTCACGTCTCCCGGTAGGACCTCGTAGCTCAGGTGGTTAGAGCGTTAACTGTACTAAAGCCACACCTTGCCATCCTGGGCTCGAATCCCATTGAGGCGCCGAGTTTTTCCCAGATGGGTCAAAATGAACAATCAGTATTAACGGCCGTGTCACCACAAATTTCTGTATGCACGCTCGCTGACTCTCTGCGTCTACCATTTATCCACGACCGCTAGTCAATATCCGAAAATCTGGGGTGTCACGGATTTGTCATCCTGTCCTCTTCCCAACGCGATGAGCTGTAAACAAAAACACTATCAACGAGGTTTACCATAATGCTATACGTACTCCTCATTCACGAATTCCTGTCCTCAGGATGTAGCCTCTGCACCCCAAAGACGATAATCCCACCTCTAAGTATTCATCTCGCCGTCAACGTGTTAATGTCGTCGGCTTAAAGACTAACAAGTAAAACTCGATTTTTTTCTGAACGACACATTTGCTTTCTATCAGAGCAGCTCGAATCGAATACTGCTTCTGGGAGTCAATGAACTGGTGTTCGTCCAATCATGCATCCGTGTGCCAAAAATGTATACTCACATTCCTCATTGTGCGAGCAGTGCTTATCAAAACACATTTTGTTTTTACAGTGTGGCAGAATCAGCATAGATTGTGCAAAGGTTTCTGCAACGCCTCTTCCGAAACCGCCGTCCACTCTAATCTAAGCACTTCCAGTAAACGCG